AGCGATTTTCATTTCTAAACAAGGTGAGTGTTTTTCATTTGGTGGTGAACCACACATAGATCTTCATTTTAGAATTTATGGACCTTGACAGCGAACCTCTTGAGGAAGGCAAATTCGAATATATCGACCTTGACGGCAATCCTCTTGAGGAAGGCCATTTCAATGGAACTCCACCGCTTGAGTTGCAGTCGATCTATGAAGACGCCTATAAAGCAAATGTAAATGAAAATACAAAGAATGTAACAAATTAATCAGAGGGGGTTTTTTTCAAAGAAGTAGTTTGTCTTCCGTTTCGCACGTGCCCTTATACGGAAAACAAACTGACACCGATATCCTCCCCCCGTACTCTTCAAAAAGGAAGGGAGGTAAAAGAATTGGGTTGTGTATATTATAAAAGATTAAAGGCATGCCCCAGGATCACATTGGTGTGGCTCATGTGCACGAATGTGATTGTACTGGTGGAAAGTGGGCCGGCAGTAAAGAAAAAAGGAAGAGAATCTGCCAAAAACGCTTAGGTTAAGGGCTAACTCACCTTCCTGATCGGCTGTGCTAAGGGAATGGGTGACTATGCGTGGAGGGGAGAGTATGAGGCGAGAGAGCACTACAGATGAGAGAGCGCCAGACAACAGCCTGATAAGAAAAAAAAGTCTGCAGCTCGGGCAGCTTACTTTGCAAGGCCTAAGCGCTCTTATCGGTCGGTTTCCGTACGCGAGGACGCCGCATCTGTAATTGCCCTCTAGGGTTCTATACAGGAGACCGAAGAGAAGCGTTCAGACGAACTCTGCCTGGGTTGTACCTTTAAAACTGAAAACTTACTACATGCATTAGAAACTTAAACTTACTACATGATTCTTCAATTACTCTGCTGCGTGTCAATACAGCACATTATAATCAAACAAATCATAATATCCTAGAAAAGGTAATAGAATTATTCTTTTGAATGTCATAGATACTGATGGTGATCTAGTTCATACCAGAGTAATTGCCACAAAACTTTGAACTGATTCAAATATTAGGCGTCATATGTTTACCTGAATTTAACTAGCGTTTATCCTACTCATTTCGCACCATCTTACTCATCTCAAGTGTACACGCGAAGATTTGTGATAAGTCTTCTTGGGCTTCCTCTGAGGTCAGTGCTACAACAAAGGTGGTACAAACCCCCGAATAGTGTATCCAAACGGCAACGTAATCGGTCCCAGCCTCGAGGCGGACAGGCACGCCAGTCTAGCGGATTAGCTCCACACTCAAGCCGTACCGCCTCCCAACCGCTTCCTCACCCTAGCCGCAAAGCGACGGGGTTTCGACTCAGATTACTATTGGCTTTTCCATCTTGAGGCAACACTGACTTATACATATAACACGAGGGAGGCATCCTGTTAATCTAGCCGTGGTACGCTCTTTCATAAGAGACCGCTACCCAAATACTATAGTGATTTCGCGTCAAGTTAAATACACGTACCCCTTGTACGTCTCACATCGCACATCCCCAGCGCTGCGATCGTCCTCGCTGGACTCTGCCCTGCTTGGCCGCGCGGGCCTTCTGTCGGGTACCCCACAAATAATGACTTCTATGCCGTAAGCTCGTGCAAGATCAATAGGAGGAATGAGAGTCCCATTTAGCGGGTTGTTGACGGATACTCTTTTTTTTTCTGCCTTTTGCGCGCTTTACCACCCCTTGTCCCCCCAGAATTATGGCACCCATTGTGTTTAACGGGAAAACTTCCTCAAAACGACTCCAGAATAACTTTTTTCACGTAATAAACTTGATTCACAGGTATCGGATGACGATGCGGAACTGGCAGGAAATGAAAAACTAACACCACATCAAACTGATCTGAGGCTCAGGAGCACAAAGTTCGTCTTAGTAGTAGTACCCTTTATGATTTCCCATCGTATCTACAAGAAATTTATCCATTCAGGATGTTCAAAAATGGCACTATCGATCAACTGGAAGAGATGGTACGCAAAGTGTTCGAGACCAGACTTGTCTGGAAAGATAAAAAACACTGACTTGTTCATCGGCTGGCCCCCGCAAGTCATTGTATAGGCCACATCGCATTCAAACGCCACTACGAATGTACAAATAGAAGTAGAATGCCGCATCCCAAGACGGGATTGATCAACGGCAAAAGCTTTATCCTTTTTTATCTTTTATTTCTTATATGGTTTTTGCAATGAAATTCTGATGTGTGGGGTGCTCGTGATCACTTGCGCTGACATTAGGCTTCGAGATTACGCCAAAGTGCCTGGTTGAGAAGTAGCGGAACCCGCCTACTGGTACCGACTGCCGTGCTAAAAAGCAGGTAGCACGATAAAGTCTATGTTGGACAAGGGCAAGTATGCCCACTACAAAGATATTCTGTGAGTCCCAGGAAGCAAGATTTGGTACTTTTGCAACCGAGGAGCACGGCTTGGAATGTCCTTCCCCATTCCCTCTCGACGCCTCCTCCCTTTGCCCGCCCATCGATTGACTAGCCCAGTTGCTAGTCCTTCACTATCGGACTCCATCCGTTTTAGCAGAGAGGCAGTGTTCACCTTGATGAGGAATCAACAATGGAACAGCCTAAAGCGGAAATCAATGGGGAAAGCAATAGTCCGCTTTGCAGGTTTCAGGTCATTTCCCCTAGCGTTTCCTTCAGTGCATCCTCTCGCGACTATACAATCCATTTCTATTGACGACCAACTTTTCGAACCATTCGCTCTAGAAGAAATAGTAGGGAAAACCAGATAAATCAATTGAAATCACTCAAAACACTTCCATCTTTTCTTCATTTTCATATTCGTTCTCATATACCACATCCCAACGAGCAGCTGTGCGAGCGCCAATTCGCTCAACCTCTCTTTTCGGCATGAAGACTGACTGCAGATTCAATGTATAAGTGGTAGCAAAATTATCCCACGCTTTTTTTTAAGTTATGAAGGACTTTTCCCTCGAGTATTTAAATTTGGACTCAATACAATGATTCACTAGAGAAAATTTGTTCACCGCTTTTTTCACGATTTATCAAAAAATGTCCCTTCTCAATCCATCTCATAGGTCAATTGACCTCACGATCAATCATAAATGGTAATTGATGACTCGCATTCATTTAGATCCGCGAACTCAAGTCCGGTACACTTTACGGATGCAATGGCTTTTATGCTGGATTCAGTGAGGAATTACATTTCACGGTCACGTGCCATCACAATTATACAGATCCGTCTGAATTTCTCAACAAAACGTTCAGGCAATGGAAGAACGCAAAACAATGAAGTAGCTAAAAATGTTTTGTTCTGCAAAGTCAAATGCAAAATAAAAATTGATGCATTTGTTCGTGCATGATTGTACTGCGCTAAAAGATTCTTGAATTATATGACCAACTCTACGAAAAAAAGAGCACTTTAGAGCAAGGTCTAGGCTCAGCCTAACTGATGTAGTCGTTCCCGTGAATAGAGTTCCATAATCCACCGTTGCACAGGTCGCGCCACCTCGCACATCGAAATGCGTCACCAGGGCGCCAAGCATCGAGGACTTTGATCAAAACCCACTAAAACTATCAAGATCTGCCCAGGATATCTTACCTAGGTCGCAATGTTAATCTGATATGCTCGATCTACTAGGACTTCTGCCCCCACCGCGACTTGCATCACCTCTCACTCCTGTGCCTGCCTGTTAGACTCTCAGCAGCGTAAAGCAAGAAGGCTGATATTTCCGGTCTTAACGATTTCCTCCTCTTTTGCTTCACTTGCAGTCCACCTCCTTTCCCTATTTTCATATTTGAGCGGGATGACCACATTAATTCATTCCTCATCCTTGTCTTTGAAGGCAGAAATCGGGATTGAACTGATGAGGTCATTCCACTCAAAAGTGGAAGTACGGATGGGAGATGGACCGCCAATGGTGCGAAAAAAAGGAAAGATAAGCGCTCAATACAACCCAAGGAAATACGGACATTTGCAATACAATGCGGAGAAAGCTCAAAAGACAGGAGGGAGTTAGAGATAATGTGAGTGGGAAGGGATAGAGAAGTCCCGAGAAGAGAGAGATACGAAATCACATTGCGACGGCAGACAAGATATCGGACGGTGGGTAACCATGTTATATTGGTGGAGTCGTTAATTCATGGTCCTTATGGTTTTACTGGCTTGCGTTTCGATAAGGTGGCGCTACCTCTGCACAAGCCTACGTGGCACTTCTAGCATGTTAAGTGTTGGGTGATTCGAGCCCCAAACTTGCCGTTAAGTAGTAAGTGGCAAAAATACGCGTGCGCACATGTAGTACGTCGATGGGTGGTGATGAGGGAACCTAACTGATAAGAGAGCACTAAGTGACATTGAGTGGGAGGACTATCGAGTCTATTGCGTCTTTCGTTCACAGCAAAGCGTATACACGCGGTGCACATAGATTGCACTCCATAGAAAACCTAATTTTTCTGAGACCGTCCCGGAAATTTGTTGGGCTTCTGCCTAAAACTATAGTAGAAATAGACAGAAGGAATAAATCTGTGATACGTATTTGACATTACGGATTTTTAAGTTTGGTGACAACAATTTTCACTTTTTGAGGGGCATAATAGATCGGAAGATATGTATATAGTGGCTCATAAAAACAGACCTAAAGTCTCTCCTTCCCACGCCTGATATAATGCAAGCGTCCTCTCTATGAGCTTGGGATGAATCAAATTTTGAATCACGCATCTATGCAGCAGACGGCGGTAGAGTTTCCAATCCTTTTGTAAGGATTCGTAGGGCCGGCTGGAACATGGTCATAGACCCTTTCCCCACTTACGCGTCAGTTCCCCATGTATTCTCGCTAGGGTTTTGTATCCGAATTACATCCCGGCGAGAAAAAATGGGGTTGTTGTTAGATTGAAAAGTGGACAGAGGCTTCAACGGAGTGTTTTTGAGCGTTCTCTCTTGCAACGAAGTATGAAGTGTTGTTGAGTCTCGAGAAACGAATGGTACCAACGTGTTATTGAGAAGTTGACGGTGTATTAATATCTTCTCATTCACAAAGAATCACAATAATTCAAGGCTACCCTCAACTAGAGATGCCCAGCAAACGCATTTAGTAGAAGGCACCGGCCGTCTCCGAGCACCAGTATGGTTCATCTGCAAGAGCGCCGTTCGAGTGCGTTAGCACGACTCATCTCCGCCGCCCAAAAATGTCATCGAAAGAAATTACGTAAGGAAACTAGAAAAACGAGAAATTAAATTTAGTAATAAAGCTGAAAGGGCCCAGAACACTCCGCTGCCTCAAACTCTGTTATTCTCATCCTCGCAGAGGACCGCCCATGTCGTCGATATTGAGTCGCAGTGCGGCTTTATTTTGTCGAACTATGTTCCGATATTTTCACATTACGAACCGGTCCATTTCAAAACATCAATCGCCGCAAGCGCCAACGCGCTTCCATAGCAACCTTTGTGGAACCAATGCCAAATAACACGTTGACGACAACGCGTGTTTTGGCTTTGCACGCGTGACTCAAAGCGAATTTTGCAGGCGGACGCCGCTTCACATAAAATCCGGCATTCTGAGCTTTAACTATGCAAAACCCGATGCAACAAAAGTGTTCGGATGATATTGTGTATCAAAACTACTCAGAAGAACAACTGTAAAAGTAATCGAATGAGACGTTTTCTGCACGAAAAGGCAATTTTCGGTAGCTCTGCTGTAAATAGTACGCTAAATTATTTTTTGACTTCGGTTGCTTCACTTAAAACTTGTATCTTGCATATGGTAGGTCTATACTGCTCACTACTCATTTTTATGACGCGAGGTTGTCAGAAATAAAGAAACTAGGACAATACACAAATATGGGAAATACATAAGCACTTGGAAACCTTTGCTAAAAAGGAGCAATATATCACCATTCCTGAACCTTGCCGTGCTACTTCAATGTTAATGTGTGGTCTATAGAAAGATGACAAGAAGTTAGAAAGAAGTAGCCGCATGTGCAGCGAAAAAATATTAATAATGTGTTGCAGCGCATGCCTCACACGATCCCACAGGTGCTCAGCGTGATGCGCATCGCGCACAAGTCGTCAACGTGTAATCAAGCACGTGCGCGCTCGAGGAACAACCGACTTCTGTAGCGCCCCTTGCTTAAGAATCATTTGAGAATGATTCTTGCTCACGTTGGCAACTTGTACCTGGAATGAAGGTTTCCTCGAGATTTGGAGACACTGCTTCAAAGAATCTAGGATTCACTTCGAGTCCATCTTCGTTTGTGAAACCCGCCGTATACTTCACATAATACGTGAACGTACAGCAAACGAAAAATCAGTGCAAAACATCGAAAAAATGGAGTATCTCCCATCGTCCAGTCTATTGTGCAGCGCCACCAAATCAATATTCACATCTAAGTTTTCAAGACAACGAGACATACCCAGACATAATCCAACAATTAATTTATGCTATCTTCCCCAGAAATATATGCAAACAGCAAATCAATAATTTCGTCCTCCTCTCAAAACATAGTATTATAGGTGCAATCTATTGCTGGCACTCCGGGGTGTACATTTTTGGGATCGATGCAGGATAGAACTGACGCAAATGTGCCGGGCAAAAATCGATAGCAAAGGCGATACAATGAGATATAAGCGGCACTGATGTACTGGTTCAATAATCAAGCTTGTGGTCCACATTGACATAGCAAGCAACACCGAATGTCACCGATAGAACACAATGAAGTTGGATGGGAAAAATGAGTGGCAGATGAATCGCGAGTTGGAAGCAACGATGTAGGTGATAAGGAGCGAAAGTCCCGAAAAATATTGACACAACCACTCTCCAGGTGAACACAACGGCAAGAGCGCCTCTGGAGTGTACGGGGCATTTCCTATAATATTCTATAATATCGGGCAGCAGTCTAAGGATACATCAAAAGAGGTGACAGAGATCCCGCCCGCCACCACACAGTAGCAAGCACCTTACGCGGCGGGGCGTGGCATGACAAAATGCGGAGTTTGCGAGCAATTATTTCATGACTCGTTCCAAACACAACGAGACAGAAAAAGGAATCAGTCTGACTACACTGTGAAGTCACTTAGATCATTTGACGGGGCGAAGCACAGCCAAAGTAGCGCAGATTGCAAAAATCATTTCGTTCAAAAATTCCCAAGTACCGGGGAAAAGGTGGATGGTTGGCAAAGGAAAGGAGGGCAAACGCATTGTGGCGTAGCACGCACTCAAAGTTGCTGGAGTTTTTGCGCGACATATTATGTGAGAGTTCTAAAGATCGGCAAACGTGTTAAGCAAGAAGAACAAGATTGGGGCTGCACCGAAATAGACCGCTGCCGCAAGAGGTTTATAACAGCGGTCCAAATTATCGCGCCGAAAATATCAAAAATTTTTTGAAGAAGTTACTACGATATTCTCCATCACATGCAATGAGTCGTTAAGCACGACAAGGTCCACTGTAACCTGTTTTGAGTGGTAGGTGTGAAATCTAACTACTTACAGGAGGGCGGAGGCCCGGGGTGGCACACACCTGGAGCTTGTCATGAAAAGGGCCTACTGCTGACTAGTGGAATGACGTGCAACGGCAAATGAGCGGCGTTACCGCACAAAAATTTACAACTCGGTTCCAAGAGTCTGAGATTGGGAAAAGGGGACTCAAGTCTGACTAGAGACGGTGAAGTCAATTGCCATGAGGGGGGGGCAAGGTCTGCACCAATGGGGCGGGGTTCGTCAAATTCGTAGCTTCGTTCCAAAGAAGCCAAAGCCTCCTGCTGCGGACTCAGCTCTCTTTTTTCCGGTCTCCTAGACTTTCGATTATATAAGTTTCAGGACAAATTCTCCCCGTTGGTGTACGCCCCGCCCACGACAGCAATTGACACTCCTTCCATTGACGGTTTTAGCTGGATTCTATCCACTCCACAACGATGACTTTGTAAATTCTCTTCTCGTCATCATTGTTCGCGGCTCCCGTCTCTGGACTGCTTTCTTGACGCGATTAGTATCAACTCTCGCAGGCAGCCCATTCGTGCAGCCCACCCATGCTTTGCTTCTTGCCTCCCCAGTTTGCCGATCTTTAAGACTCCTTAGAAATACATAAAAAGTACGCGCAACAAATTCTAGCAACTTTGGCGCGTGCTCAGGGCCCACCAATAGGTTTGCTCTTTCGCTTTGCCCCCTTTCCCGGCTCGGTTGGGACTTTTGGAACGAGAAACAAGTTTTGAGCAACACTGCGCCTACGTTTGGTGTGGTGCTCGCCCCCAATGACAATGACATCACCTGTAGTCAGACTTGATTCTTTTCTCCCGACATC